GTGGTGCTGGGAGGTGATGGGTGGAGGATGAGGGTAGATGGTGGTGCTGGGAGGTGATGGGTGGAGGATGAGGGTAGATGGTGGTGATGGGAGGTGATGGGTGGAGGATGAGGGTAGGTGGTGGTGGATGGTGAAGTGGGAAATAGCAATAGATGGCAGCAGGAGAAGGATGGTGGCGGAAAGTGGCAGTGGTGGTGGTTGGCGATGATGGTAGAAATCCTGGGCAGTGGGGTGACTTCTGCTTATGCCCCAGCCCTCTACCCTTCCCTAGGGGACCCCGGTCCAGCTCTTGGACTGCCAAGTTCTCTGATGCTGTGGCTTGTTCCTTTGCAGACTCCATTGGGGGCCCCTTCCCTGTCACCTCTCACCGATGCCATCACAAGCAGAAGCACTGCCCGCCGGTGCTGCCGGGCGGGGGGCTCCCGGCCACGCCGCTGCTCTTCCACCCCCACACCAAGGGCTCCCAGATCCTCATGGACCTCAGCCACAAGGCCGTTAAGAGGCAGGCCAGCTTCTGCAACGCCATCACCTTCAGTAACCGCCCAGTCCTCATCTATGAGCAAGTCAGGCTGAAGGTGGGGCCTCCCTCCCCGCTCTCCATCACTGTCTCCCCCCGGGCCCCTGAGCTCTCTCCCCCGGTCACTGCTGTCTGGCACGGCCATCACTACACCCTGCCTTCCTCTTTCCTCTCTGCTGCTGTTTCTGCTCTTCCTCATCCCTCCTCTGTCTCTTTCTTCTTCCGTACTCTTTTCTCAATTGTCCCTGTGTGACAAAGGAGGAGTGGGGTAGGGGAGTGGCCATGGGGACCACTAGCTGTCACCAGACTGGCGGGAAGGCTGCCGAGGGAGGGAAAGGAGCCTGAGTGGTGGGTGAGCTGGGCTGTGGGACTCCCCATGGTAGGGGGTCTGCAGAGAAGGGCACGCTCCCTTCCCCTTGGGCTCACTGACAGTGAGGGGGAGGCTGTCTGAGGCCGGCCCCCTTCTGCCCAGATCACCAAGAAGCAGTGCTGCTGGAGCGGGGCGCTGCGGCTGGGCTTCACAAGCAAGGACCCGTCCCGCATCCACCCGGACTCGCTGCCCAAGTACGCCTGCCCCGACCTGGTGTCCCAGAGCGGCTTCTGGGCCAAGGCGCTGCCCGAGGAGTTTGCCAACGAGGGCAACATCATCGCCTTCTGGGTGGACAAGAAGGGCCGTGTGTTCTACCGCATCAACGACTCGGCCGCCATGCTCTTCTTCAACGGGGTCCGCACGGCCGACCCGCTCTGGGCCCTGGTGGACGTCTACGGCCTCACGCGGGGCGTCCAGCTGCTTGGTGAGTGTCCGCGCCCGGGGCCCCTTAGGCGCGCTGGTCTGACACTGCTGGATCCCATCAGGCATGGGACCCCTCCCCCAATGGGAGCAGCCCCAGGGCCAGGTGGGCACCAGGCAGCCCCAGGGGCCTTTGTGTGAACTGCAGAGCGCCCCCTTCCTCCAGGCCCCCTGCTCTGGCGAGTGGAGCCTGGGCGAGATGTCGGCCCTCCGCGGCCCCTCGGGTTGTGCCTTTGAGCATAAACGGAGCCTTGAAGACCCCCACTCCCAGGAAGCAGTGAATATGAATCATCGTAACCGTAGTACCGAGAGCTCTCACTATGTGCCAGACACTTCATTGTTGCCATTCTCGTAGCAACCCTGGGAGGCAGACTCCATTACTGGGCCCATGGAGGCGAGACTCAAGCTCAGGGAGGTTGAGTCATTGGCCCCAGGAGGCACAGCACGTGAGTGGTAGAGCCAGTGCTCAGTCCCAAGTAAGCCCCTGACCCCTGGGCTCTGCAGCATCCCAGGAAGTCCAGCCCCAGCCTAGTGCTTTCTGCAGGGATGTGGGCCAAAGGGGGAAGAGGGGAGAGCAGAAGGCACTAGGAGGGCTAAGACTTTTCTGGCTACTCCAGGGCCACCTGCGTGAGTAAGGCTGCTCAGGGGAGTGAGAGGGCAGACATCTCGTGGGATGCGAGTGGAGCATCAGAAGGTAGCCTGGGGCTGCTAAGGTACCAGGCTTCCCAGCGAGGGCACATGTAGACCCGACGATGCCAGGGCTGGAAGAGTCCTCAGAGAGTCTCCGATTTCCTAGGGTCCCACAGTGAGTTGGTGGCTGAGTTGGGACTAGAATCCAGGTCACCTGACTCCCAGTCCAGGATCCCTCTCACCGTGCTATGCTGTGCATGTGCAGGCGAGTGTGTATGTGTATGCATACGTAGACTTGGGGTGGAAATCAGCCCATCGGCAAATTGGCTGTGTCTCCAGGCAGAGCCTGCAGGAGCTTCAGCTTTCCCATCTGTAAAGTGGGTTGGTGGGAAGAATAAATTAAATTAAAGAGGCCATGAGTTAAGTGCCCAGCACGGTCCTGGGTATCAGGTCGGCGCTCAACCAACACTTGTTCTTCCCATCTCCCATTCCTGCCCCCTCTCCTGCAGAGAAAAAGGTCCTGGAGGTGGTTGAAAAACTTTTTTTCTTTTTTTCCTTTCTGACTTCAGAGCCTAGAAACAGTGAAGCTCTTCTTTTCAAAACATCTTTATTTAAGTAAAAAAGATAGTGAATGTAAAAACAAAGAAATGAGTAACCTCAGAAGCCTTTCTGTTTGTTGAGTTCCAGACATCAGGAGGCTGCTTTTGTTAATCAATAGTTTGGGAGCTTTCTGTTTTTCAACTCAATAAAAGTGTTTCTACATTCTCATGGACATGTCCGGTGCCTGAAGCCAGGCTCTTCAGGGTCTCAGCAGGTGAAGAAGGGAGGCACGGCTGCCCAGGATAATCTGCTTTTCATTCCCTCTGAAGTGGATGAGGCTGCAGGGCTTCTACTGGCTGGAGGCGGAAGGGGCAGAGTTATGCTCCTGGACTACAGAGTCAGACCCATCTGGTGGGATACTGGCCTCATCCTATACTAGCTGTGGGACCTCAGTTTCCTCATCTGTAAAATGGGGTAATAATAATTGTTCTCAGGGTTCTTTTGAAGGCTCAAGGAGCTGGGTTTTGTGAAGCAGCTTACACATAGGAGGTATGCAGTGCCTGGCACTCATCCCCATGCATCCGGGACAGGGCGATGCTTAACCCGAGGTTCAAGTGGACGCCTCCTGCTCTTCTGAGATCCTCAAGGCCCCACGCTTCAAGGCACTGGGGTCCCAAAGCTTGGGTTTGAGCTCTAGCCTGGATACTTCTGTCTGAGCCTTAGTCTTCTTGTCTGTTAAGTGGTTGTGAATACTATGACCTAGTCCAGGGCTTGGCCACATGGTAGGAGACAGAAGGATGTCTCTGCTTTTGAGAAAATCAGTCTTTTTTTTGCTGAGGAAGATTTGCCCTGAGCTAACATCTGTGCAGTCTTCCTCCATTTTGTATGTGGGTCACCACCACAGCATTGATGCCGCCAACGAGTGGTGTAGGTCCGCTCCTGGGAACCAAACCTGGGCCACCGAAGTGGAGCATGCAGAACTTAACTACTAGGCCACGGGGCTGGCCCCCAGAAAGTCACAGTCTTGTTGGAGGGAGAGGGGTAAAGGAAGTGGGAACAAAATTGTTGCTTTTCCCTAAGCAAAGAATGCCCTTCCCCACAGTCCCCAAAGATGAAAATCCCACTTGGGCTTCAAGGCCCAGCTCAAAAGCCACCTCTTCCCTGAAGCCTTCTGGGGCTGAATTCTTTTCTCTGTCCCTGTGTCCCACCACCTGGTGCCTGCACTTCTCTCAGCACAGAGGCGTTGGCCGAGCCTTAGTCCATCCACATGTCTGTTTACACACAGATGGGGAGGGCTTGAGGGAGGAATCCATGTCTTCCCGCCAGGTTCCTCTCCGGAGTGGAATCTTGTGCCTGGCGGGTGGAGGACACCGAGGAATATTTGTAGGGTGGGTGGGGGAGAGTGGTGGGATGGCTGGATGACTTGTTAGAGGAAGGAAAGTAGGGGTGACTGAGGTAGACCCAGCCCTGCTCACAGACAGTGCCAGGCTCACTGGGAAATGAGAGACACAAAGCAAGCACATCAGACAGAATTGGGCATAACCCAAGGGAAGACAGTAAATTGTTTAACGCTGTGGTCGTAGGATCCCTTCCATCTGCCTGGATGGTTTCCATCCAGTTATCTCATTTAACCTCTCAGCAGCTGCCCTGGAGGGAGGGTTTTTTATCCCCATTAGGCAGGGAGAAAATTGAGGCCCATGGCAGGCCTGGCTTGTCCTTTTAGGGATGTGGCTGAGCTGGGACCTGAACTGGGTGTTTTGATTCTCAAAGCAGTGCCTTCCCCTTTACCCTTCAGCAGGTGTGAGTGTGAAGGGAGGCAGGAAGTCAGAGGAGACTGAGGTTAGTGAGGGAGGATGGAGTCCAGGAAGGCTTCTTGGAAGAGGGGGCATAGGCTGGGCCTACAAGTTCCAGGAGGGTCTAGAAGGGGGTGGATATGAAGGGGTCATGCCAGGTGAGATGGGGCTTCCAAAGCTCAGGGGCTGGGGGAGGGGCCTGGAGAGTAATCTGAAGGGCCTCACCCTGGGGCAGAGCCCAGGCGGCTGACCCGGCCAGGCCAGTTCCCCCTCTTTGACTATAAATGGGTTTTCACGCGGTATTTTCCGTTGCGTTTGGACTTCCCAGCAGGCTCCTCTGCACACCCGATAAGGCTGAGGCCCGGCTGATTCCCATCCCAGCTGTAAATCACCGTAATCCCTGGGCATTTTCAAACACTGATTATGGCCCCTAAATTCAATTAGCAGAATAAAATGTCGCTTCATTTTGTTCTTCCTAAATTGATTTTTTTTTTTTGGGAAAAAAAAAAAAGATCCATCCAGGATAGCTTTGGAGGTGGGCATGCTGCTCTGTGTCCTTGTTCAGAGCCCCTGCCCTGTGGGGTCTGCCCGCTGCCCTAAATAGTCTCAGCGTCCATTTTCCTCCCTATCCCCCCAACTTCCCCTCTCCCGCTCTCCTTGCCTGCCACTTCAATGCGTCTTTGTCCTTCATGGGCCTCTCTCTCCCTCTGCCCAGATCCCTCCAGCTTCTCTGGCTTTCCTTGGTCTCCCTCGTCAGCTGCTGCCTTTGAGTTTCTCCTCTGAAGAAGTTGCTCTCTGTCTTCAGAGGCTCTGAGGATGGGCCTGGTCTTCCCTGGGGTGACTGTCCCCCAAACCAGTGTCTCATCTTTAGAGATTTCCTGCCAAGCCTGCCCGCTCCCCTTCTGCCTCTGTTTGGAACCTGTGGCCAAAGCCTTCCAACTCCACCTGGCCAGTGTCGGCTCCTCAGAGCAGAGACATCCTGGGGTACCTGGCACATAGTAGGTTTGCAAGTCAGGCCATGGTCAGACCGGCCGTCTCCTCCAGCAGAGTGGAGGCAGGGGCTGATGTCTCTCCCTGGTTGACACCTCCAGGCTGGTGCCCCATGCCCTCCCCTTGCTGCCCTAATTATCACCCAGGCCCCCTGCATCAGGCCTTCCAGGCTCCCCGTGATGCTGGAGTCCACCAGTCACCCTCTTCCCTCGGGGCGTCCTGGCCCGAGCCCGGCTGGTATCTCCAAGAATAACAGCTTCCTACCTCCAGGAAGAAGGACCTACCAGCAACTAAATAAATACAGGTTTTATGGGGTGATTAATACTTGGAGAGATAAGCTCCTATCCCAGTTTTTCAAGGTCTCCCTGCTCCTCTCAGACTTGTTGGCTCAGGAAGAGCAGCTGTGGGTCCTGGCAGAAAGCTTGTGAGCCAAGACTCCACTTACAGGGTGCTCCTGAGCACCCCTCTGTGCCCACCACAGCCTTGGCACCATGCAGGGGGAGGGGGAGACACAAGAATTGAAAACCCAGCCCCTCTCCTGAAGAGTGTTTACACTGGGGGGACACACTGTATAACTGCTCTGAGGTGACCCAAATCCAATTCTGCAATTAAGTGTGGCTGAGGAATAAAACTGTGTGGGTGCTGCTGGGGAGCAATCCAGGAGGACTTCCTCTAGGAGATGGGTTTCAAGGCAGGAACCAAGGGAGGTGAAAAGAATGGACTGGTTGAAGAGGAACAATTTAGGCCAGACAGGAGAGGGTGTGCATAGGCACAGAGGTGGGGAATTAGCAGTCAGTCGGGGAGCAGATCCCTCAGGGGAGGGGTGAAGTAGAGAGGTAGTGGGTGACTTGTGGAGAGGGGGTGTGCCCAGGTGTGGGTAGGTGCATGTATTACAGGGGAGAGAACCGTGACAGTAGGTTTCTGACAGCTTCTGGGCTGTCAAGTTTTCAGTAAGAGAAAATGTGGCCCAGCTGGTCAGAAGCCACGCCCGGCCTGGAGTTCAGATTGCCCTGGCTGATCTGGGCATGAGGTCAGTGTGAGAAGACTTATT